TTTCTCAATCGGCAGACGCATTTAAAAAGGTAGCTAACTCCAATTTTGAGAGGAACGCCAAAAAGATTTTAGGTTTTGAACACTTTTCATTGCAAATACGTGACATTGAAAAAAAGTTTGCCTCTTAATATTTTAAAGAATAAGAGAAGAAATATTCGTAATGAATTGGAATCATCCATAATTTATACATTTGAATGTGCGTATGATAACTCAGCGCTCAAAGTTTCGTATCGAAAGAGGAACAGCCGAACAGGTACATGTACGATGGCTAACAAGAATGAGTGTACTTATCAACTTATCTAACGCGAGGAAAGGATCAAAATGGCAGGTATATGGCTGTGATATCCAGTATATAAAATTGTATAGACAATTTGCCCACAAATACGGTGCTAGGTCAAAACAGCCCAAAGTCAAGATGGCCCAAAGTCAAAACGGCGATAATTATTAGTCAAATTAACGATAATTATAAGTGATTTGATTCAACTGTTTTGAGTTAATGATACGCGATGAAAACACTCAATATATAAATAACCTTAGGCAGCAGTGAATATTAGTTCTCCCACTCTAATCTCTTTTGGATATATAGCTTCGCTCGCACCAATTTTATCTCCTGTTCCATTAATACAATTGACTGCATTTCTGGCATCTGAGCATCCACAAGGAAAACGAGTAAATGAGAAGACTGTTTTGAGGTTATATTTCTGTTAAGTTGGTGACTGCACATTTCAATTTTAAGAACTGCACAAATGGGTATAGAACAAGTGCACATTAAAATAAACCCTGAGCCAGCTATACCACAAAAAAGTGCCTGAGAAACTCATATTTTGACATATTCTATATAATCTATTCCGTGTTTTTGACAGTTTATGCTTATAATTCATTGTTGCATTTTTATTTGGACTTTGTGTCTGATCACCTTAATAGAATTAACATAATAGTCCTTTTGCATTATGATGTCAAATATGTAAAAAAATATTTATGCAAATTGTATCATGAAAATGGATTGGCAACAACTGTCAATGTTGCTGAGCTTATCAAATTTCCCATAACATCTCGCAGAAACAGTTTTTCAGAGCTTGACGTCATAATGAGAAAGGTCTATTATAGTTGCATGTATTACACTGGTCAGAGCTTTTTTGCTTTATAACTAATGTTTTAATGCTCTGTGTGACACCAGAACAATGTAGATGGATGATTCAACTACCCGAGAAATACAAGCAAAACTTTCACGCTTTGTCGCTAACGAAGGGCCTTCACTTGCAACATCAAAGTTTTGCTTGTATTTTTCACGTAGTTGAATCCTCATCCATCTACATTGTTCTGGTGTTTTTGTTTCTACCTAAGCTGGTGCAGATTGTGCAAGTTTATTATGCTCCGTATGCATATCTATCTGTGTACTATTTTATTAACTGATATGTTATAACTTGTTGTTAGGCACATAGATGGTGATCACAAACTTATTCAACCGTATCAAATTGTCATCCATGGTGGCATTTATGGCCATTCAAGACTGATTGTCTTTTTGCGAGCTTCGACAAATAATCAAGCAAACACAGTGTTGCAGCTTTTCAGGGAAGCCACAACTACGTACAATATTCCTTCCAGAGTGAGAAGCGACAAGGGCTTGGAAAACATTGAAGTAGGTAGATTTATGATACAAGTACGAGGTACCAATAGAGGAAGCATAATCACTGGAAATTCGGTGCACAACCAAAGAATAGAACGGCTGTGGCGTGAGGTGAATCGATTAATTGTAAGTAGATTCTTGAACATATTCCCGTATTTAGAAAACAGTGGAGCATTTATTCCTGATGATGAAGTACATCTTTACTGCCTTCATGCAGTATATCTACCATTAATTAACTTGGCTCTCCGAGAGTTAACAGAATAGTGGAATGATTATCCTATATCAAGCGAGACAAGTTACAGCCCAAGGCAACTGTGGGTTCAAGGAATGCTTGAATTGAGAAACTCTAATTTAACAGCAGTAAGAGATGTTGTAGACAACGAAGATATTGTAAATTTTGAAGAGTATGGCATTGAAGAAGGACCTGTTCCAAACCTTTACCCTGAATCAGTATCAGTTCCAGAATCTTCTATACATATATCAGAGGAAAATGAGAGAATACTTCAACAAGAAATTTCCTCAGTTCCCCCAGATGACAACGGGATCATGAGGTACATCGCAGCATTAACTGTAGCAATGATGTTTGGGGATCTAAATTAACACATACATTAATTAATAAAATTAAAGCAGACAGAGGCAGTGTATTTGAATATAACATATAATATCTCTGATCAATAGTAAAATATGAATAAATGATACTCGAAACTAAACATATATAAAGTACACCATGCTCTCTGTATTACAGTGTCTGGAAACGTAGCAAGCCTGAAAGTTTCTAATCATGTGCAGCGTTGATGTTGAGAGTAATATTCAGTACGTTTTGCTTAAATGGCTGTAAATATAGCATCAATTTTAAGGCATCACATTGATAATTGTATTTAATTGGCAATTTTTAACTATTATTTTATGTTTCTCAATCGGCAGACGCATTTAAAAAGGTAGCTAACTCCAATTTTGAGAGGAACGCCAAAAAGATTTTAGGTTTTGAACACTTTTCATTGCAAATACGTGACATTGAAAAAAAGTTTGCCTCTTAATATTTTAAAGAATAAGAGAAGAAATATTCGTAATGAATTGGAATCATCCATAATTTATACATTTGAATGTGCGTATGATAACTCAGCGCTCAAAGTTTCGTATCGAAAGAGGAACAGCCGAACAGGTACATGTACGATGGCTAACAAGAATGAGTGTACTTATCAACTTATCTAACGCGAGGAAAGGATCAAAATGGCAGGTATATGGCTGTGATATCCAGTATATAAAATTGTATAGACAATTTGCCCACAAATACGGTGCTAGGTCAAAACAGCCCAAAGTCAAGATGGCCCAAAGTCAAAACGGCCCAAAGTCAAAACGGCCCTGCTTCAATAATCATATGATTTAGACCAGGGGTTAAAGGGCAATGACGATGACATGCAGGTGACATTTAACATGTGCAAGTGTGCGTCTGACTAAATTTGCGTGTTTAATTAATAATGTTTATCAAAAAGGCAAAAATATACACAAGACAACCTCACATGTGGAATCTGTTCACTTACGCACTGCGTTGTGGTGCAGTACAAGTACAAATACAAATGACAAAGCATTTTTCAAGGCTTTAAATCCTAAAACATGCATAATTAAATCATACGGCACATTCAAGATTTTAATATTGTATTTCAGCCGCGTTTATACTGCTTGGCGCGCATTTCCTGCATTATATTAATTTATATACTTATGTTATATACACAGATTTATTACTAATAAATCAACACTATATGATAATATATAAGAACTCACAAAGTGCAGTCACCTTTTTATAAATAAACCTTTT